ATGCGGTAAAATCATCAATCGGGACGGACCAAGTCACGATCCCCAATAGTAAAAGACCCCACGCTCATCATCCAATGCGTGTCTCGCCTCAATACAGCACTACGATGTGCAATCCGGGGTTTCAAACCTTCAGGATATCATTTACAATCATTACTCACCTCGAACCGGCGATATCTCTAGCTCACGACGCTTTTGCCCCTCGAATCGGCCTCCACGCGCGTCGAATCTATTCAAAATCAGAACGAATACATTACAATACGCTAAAGGAACAAAGCCCAAGCGGAAACAATCAATATCGGGCACATATCCCGGAATTACCAAAACCCGAGCCCCGGGACCACTTCTCGAAACTCAGAAATTTTTACATCAACGTGTTCCTTATCTTCTCACGAGTTCATACATATCAAAAGTTCTCAAATCCGACCCCAAATGGCCTTTTAAATCCCAAATCAAAAGTCCAATTTCTCAAGCCCTAGTTCTTAAATTTTAGGCTTAGCTTCCATCGGGACCCCAACCAAAAGCACCAACATATCCTAAAACCTCATTCAAACTTGTTCCAATCATCAAAACACCTCAAACAACATCAAATCACTCAAAACACATCGGATTCAAGCCTAAGTTTTCCAAAAACTTCCGAAATACACTTTCGATCAAAAACCCGACCAAACGACGTCTGAATGACCTGAAATTTTGCACACACATCCCAAAGGACATAACGAAGTTACAGCAGCTCTCGAAATTCCATTCCGACCCTCGGATCAAAATCTCGCCTATCAACCGGAATTCGCCAAAATACTAAATTTGCCAATTCAAACCTAATTCTACACCGGACCTCCAAAACCAATTCTGATCACGCTCCTAAGTCATAAATCACCCAACGGAGCTAACCAAATCATAAAAATTCCGATTCGAGCTCATATACAAATAAGTCAACTCTTGGTCAAACCTTTCAATTGAGACCGTTCCTTCAAATTCATACCGATTTTCGTGAAAACCAAAATCAACGATATACATCAGTCATAATACATCATACGGGGCAAGTCATGCCCGAGAACTGGCGATCAAAGTGTAAAAGCTCAAAACGACCAGTCGGGTCGTTACAAGAAGTGACTGATGTACTGTGCTGCACTGTTTGCGTGTACAGTGTAGGCAATTCACTTTTCAGCTGTAGACAGTTGACTTCGTACTATTGTCAGGGGAACCCAAGAGGATCAGGTCCCTGTGTTGATTCTTTATCTTCTGAAGTCATAGCAACTCACATTAGCTTAAGTCCGTTGATTTGAGTTGTGTACCAAGTGTATCAGGTTCCTTATTTGGTTCTTTGACGGTAAGTTTATTAGATCATCAAAACATAAAGCTAAGGTACTGTAAACCCATCAATTTTCCCCTTTCTGATGATGGCAAACTTAAAAATTGACAATCATATTTAGAACAACAAAAACCAGATAGAGTAACAGGAACGTCACAATTTCCCCCTGAATTTGTGCTTCCTCCTGAATCAGTCCCTTGAATTTTGCTCTCTACTCTCTTCCCCTTTTGGCACCATTAAAAATACACAAGCAAGCAAGCATCGTAAAGAAGTCTAGCCTAGCTAACTCATGCCACTTATGTGCACACCACATGATAAATAAGAGAAGCAGAGAAACATAAGCATTTACAGCAAAAGAGGAGAGCCTTCATTAATATTATAAAACATAAGCTTTTGTTGTACAGCAAAGGCAAATGTGGACTGTTGAAACTTTAATCCCAATTGGGAGCTCTTGATAAATTTTTCACAATCAATAAAACTTCTAAATCAGAAACTATGAAAGAATTTATGGTTGATGAATAAATCACCAATATAATTGAGCTAGACGACAATAAAATCGAAGAAGTTGGTGAGAAATCTGACATATATTCTCAAGAACACCCAAAAATTCTAAATAGATTGAATAGTTATATTCCTAGAATCATATATGATCCTAATCAATGGACTATAAACAAATTAATAGAAATGGATTATAAATAATTTACATTGAAAAATCTAAAAAAATAAATTTCAAATAAAATTATATAAAATATGGTTTTTTTTTCTTGTAACAAGAAGCTTAACGCCCCTTATTGAAATTTGACTTTAGGCGACAAAAATCATTGAGCCGCTCCAATATCGATCTTAATCTATTTGTCAATTCACCCGTCGTGACGATTAAAGTGAGATGGAGGACTGTACATTTCTATGGAATGTTCATTTATTCAAGTTTGAAAGACATTTTCACATTGCGAAAAGTCCAGGGGACAAGGTAGGATTCCAAACATTTTGTATCAACCTGTGGTAATTCTAAAAAATTGTCGTGCAGTCACAATCATTTCTCTTGTTGATGTGTTTAGACTATTTTAGGATAACCACAATATGACATGTATAGATAAAGATGTGTTTATAGGATCGAAGATCCAACCTATTAAAAATTAGAAGCATACTTATTGGATTGTTTTAAAACCCTATTTCACTTTTTTCTACCTATTAGGCATTTCTTCAACATGAAAAATTCAAAGAGTTTAGGAAGTCAGCAAATCTTAAAAGAAAATAGAGACTATTATCTAACAACTGAAACAAGAATAAACGCGAAATTAGATTATTGAGGAACAATCACTTATATTTTTAGGGAAGAGGACAAAGAAAGTTAATATTTGAAAGATGAAATGTCCCTATTTTATTCAATTTTTTTTTATTTAATGAATTTTAATTATCGTTTTTATCAGATTACCAATTAATATTCTTGATTTTTTTTTCTCTATAATTATTGAGAAAGTGACATGATTGTATAGATACTTTTTTCATTATACTTAAAACTTTCATTTTGTATGGAGAAACCATCTCTCAGCTGCTTTCATAATTGGGCTTGAAAATCAACGGTTAGAACTTGGAAATAATTTTATGTATTTGATAAAATGTGATCTTTCTTATACTTTATTAAAAACCATTTATCTGTAATAAAGACATGCTCACCATGGATTGTATATCGTAAATGGTCCTACGTGGTACATTTATTATCTGATAAGAATTATCACACTCTCTTAATTCCTGAAAAGGGCGATATAAAATCTTGTTTTCTTGTTTGATTAGATATATACTACTGTGTATAACTAATGTCTAAAGAAAGGTACGAGAATGTTTGTAAATGAAAGCTATAAGAAATGCTTAAAGAACTTGAAATTGGAATAATAATTTATTTGATTTTGTTAATGATTGGATGATCCTTCACCGTATAAAATACATAGTTATACATACAGAGACAGGGTCCGACATTTAATTCCACACCACTACACAATCATGTTCCGATCTTATTCCTAAAATTTATAAGCACAACCTAGCTAATGTCCTGTTGGTTTGATTATCCCCATTACACTTCGGCTGACTACATTGTTATCAAATTCACTCATAGCAGGATATTACCATCCTTGATTAACTTGAGTAAAAATGGCGTGTAGTAGCCACTAATTAAGGGTGTCTTTAATTTTTATCCACTAATTATAATGCTCAGCAAAAATAGCCACTACTAATAGAAAAAAGACAATTTTACCCTTTCTTCCTCTCTTTCGCGTTGCATTTTCATCTGGAATACCCAAGGCGATTTCACGGTCGGCCTCCTCCATGCTTGGTCAATAGCATCAGGTCTATTAGTGACCCCAATTACTAGGACATAACCAGGTCCATCATGAGATCCTTCTGATTTTGCTTCACTATTCCTTTTACCAATACGTACCGTAGTTCCTTTTGCATCATCAAAATTTTCAAGTTCTGAATTTTTGAGCAGATGTCTCAATTACGTACAGTAATTTCTTTCTTCTTACCTTGTTTTTGTTTCTTTTGAGTTCAAAGATAAAAAGTTAAGGACATGAGTCTTTAAGTTTGACATGCAGGTTTAAAAGTTAAGGACATGTATTCCTTAAATTTGACATGCAGGTTCAAAAGATAAGGACAAACAATCCTTAACTTATAGTTTCAAGTTCAAAACTTAAGGATAGTCAGTATTTAAGTTATTGTTTCAAGTTCAAAACTTAAGGACTTTCTGTCCTTAACTTTGAGTTTCAGTTTCAAAAGTTAAGGACAGGCAGTCCTTAACTTATAGTTTCAAGTTCAAAACTTAAGGACGTGCAGTCCTTAAGTTATTGTTTCAAGTTCAAAACTTAAGGACATGCAGTCCTTAACTTTGAGTTTAAAGTTCAAAAGTTAAGGACAGACAGTCCTTAACTTAAAGTTACACGTTCAAAAGTTAAGGACAAGCAGTACTTAACTTACGGTTACAAGTTCAAAAGTTAAGGACAATAAGTCCTTAACTTTGACTTACAAGTTCAAAAGTTAAGGACGCTTGGTCTTGAAGTTTGAGTTCCAAGTTCAAAACTTAAGGACATGTAACCTTGAAGTCCTGAACTTAGAGTTCCAAGTTCATAAGTTAAGGACATGTAGTCATGAAGTCCTGAACTTAGAGTTTCAAGTTCAAAAGTTAAGGACATGTAGTCCTGAAGTCCTGCAGTGAAGGACATGAGCAGAAGGGTATTTTTGTCCGAGCAGTTAAAGTTTATTGAACCAGTGGCTAAAGACTAAAGACATTTAAAACGCTGGCTTTAAAATAAAGACATAAGCTGTTAGTGGCTATCTGTGCACATCGCCCTTAACTTGATTAACAATACAAACTGCTCGGATTACTCTTGATAGCCCATTGCGGGCTATAAGTTGGATGGATCTTTACACAAATAGCCTGCTATATTCAATTGTTTATTTTTTCTAGCTATATACATTAATTATATATAATTATACACATATAATACATAAATTATACATATATTATATCTTTACTTGCTATTTCTAATTTAAGGTGGACGACTATTTGGATTAATTCTTCATTTTGGAAAAGCCAATTCTACCTGTCGAATTTACCCTAGTACATAAGGACAAGACTCAAGTTATTAGTAACAATGAGGTGTTAACGATCCTTCTAATAAGTAATACTAACAGAGACTGGAAATTAGGAAAAGATATTTTCGTCAGCGCCAGAACATTCTGTGGCGGGTAATTAATTCAGGCTTATACTAAGAAAAAACAGCAAGTTATCCACGATAGGCCAGTGGTTGTTTTTCTTGCTCCACTAAAACCCACATTTTTCCATCCTAAAGCTGTAAACGTGCGTCTCTGCAGAAGTTTTTGACAATTTTTCGCTTCCAAATTTCAGTCAATACTTTATATTCCAGCAAGATTTCTCTAATTTGTGGCTATTGGTATGATTGTGCTTCAACTATTGTTTGATTACAGATGGAAGGAAGTGCAATCAAGGAGAAAAAGGAAGCGGGTATCAGTATCAGTCAGAAGAAGAAAGTATTTGTAGCTGGTGCAACTGGGAATACTGGGAAGAGAATTGTTGAGCAGCTTTTGGCTAAAGGTTTTGCTGTTAAGGCCGGGGTTCGTAATGTTGACAAGGCTAAGTCTATCTTACCTGAAGCAAACCCTCTTCTTCAAATTGTGAGTATTTTTGAATTTTTGGTTTCTCAATTTTTGATTTATATTTGCTATAATTTGGATGCATAAATGGCTAGCTTTAAGTTCTTAATATTACTATTAATTCGACAATTTGCCCTTCTTACATAAAGTATCTGTTTGATCGATAGTAATAAAAAGTGAAATGACAAAGTCTTAATTAGGATGGAGTTGTTATTGAAACATATACACATTTACAGGAAAATCTACTTAAATTTGTTTACATGTGGAGCTTAACAAACTTGGTGCTCAGATAATCCAATTTTTTCTGTTGCTTAGCAGCCAGAAACACTTCCTAATTTTCCATTAAAAACAATAAGTGGGTGCTGACACTTTAACATTTATAGTTTTAGTGCATGAGACTTTGGCATATTCAAGCACTTCCAGTGTTTTCCATAAAATACAATAAGCGGGCGCTGGTACTTCAACATTTATAGTTTTAAGTGCATGAGACTTTGGTATATTCAGTTGAACAAATTAATGCGTATTACAAATTTAGGTCTAAAATTTTTACTAAGTTTGCCTCCATAAGAGTTTTGTTGTATGGGAACTTTCACTCAATTCATTAATAGGACAGTTTTCTCGGAACATATCTAGAGGATTTAGGAACAAGTACTACTATTTAATTTATATCATGGAGAAAGCCTCACTTTCCAAACATTTTTGATAAGGTAAGCCTCACTTTCCAAACTAGAAGCCTCAAATGTAAGTATACATTCTTACCCGCTTCTTCTTATTACATGTCTTGCCTTGTCATTCTTACTCTAGCTATCAAATTATGTATAGGATAATTGGAGATAAAATGAAAACCTTATACCTTCTCTACATGGAATTCAGTTTTTGAGTGTAGGTGTACCTTTAACCTTCTAAGTTTAGCCTACAATAAGTCTAAATTTCATTACAACAACAACAATAACAACCCAGTCTTATACTACACCGTGGGGTCTGAGGAGGGTAGTGACCTTACCCCTACCTTGTGAGGATAGAGAGGTTGTTTCCAATAGACCCTCGGCTCAGGAAAGCATAAGCACCACATTAATGAAAATATAGACAAGAAGGGACAGTACCAAAAAACCATATAAAAGCAGAATAAAAACAACAAGATAATAAGGTAATCAACAATGAAAGAAAATAACGGTTAGTCATAAAAACCTATTGCCCACAGAAAGCGAGACTGCGTGTCAATACTACTGTTATGAACACTCTAGACTACCTACTCTACTACCTTAATCCTCGACCTCCATACCTTCCTATCAATGGTCATGTCTTCGGTAAGCTGAAGCTGTGTCATGTCTTGCCTAATCACCTCTCTCCACCTCTTCTTGGCCTACCTCTACCTCTCTATAGGCCCTCCAATGTCAACCTCTCACACTTCCTCACCGGGGCGTCTGTGCTCCTCCTCCTCACATGACCAAACCACCTAAGCCGCGCTTCCCGCATCTTGTCCTCAATAGGGCCCACGCCCACCTTGTCGTGAATAACCTCATTTCTGATCCTATCTAACCTGGTGTGCTCGCACATCCATCTCAACATCCTCATCTCTGCTACCTTCATCTTTTGGACATGAGCGATCTTGACTGGCCAACACTCAGCCCCATACAACATCGTTGGTCTGACCACCACTTCGTAGGACTTACCGTTAAGTTTAGGTGGAACCTTCTTGTCACATAAATCACCGGAAGTGAGTCTCCATTTCATCCATCCCGCCCCAATACGATGTGTGACATCTTCATCAATCTCCCCATCCCCCTGAATAATAGACCCAAGGTACTTAAAACTCCCTCTCCTAGGGATGACCTGTGAGTCCAGCCTCACCTCCCCCCCCCCCCC